TTAAAAGCTTCTTTTATGGCCTCTTGCACTCGAACTTGGCTAGTGTGGTAGCAGAAGTTTCAAGAGTACGCTTCACTTCTCCTTTACAAAGCTAATTTCGCCCCCCAGTTACTCGGAGAAAGAGAACGTTTTTGGACGTAATTGCACACTTGCACTTACCTATTACGGCGTAGTTCCATTTTGAGTGTAGTACATAGTAGCTTTTGCAAAGTGCAATGGCCAGGTCGTTCTTGGGGCTATATGAGCTGAAAAATTGTGGGGGGGGGGGGGGGGGGTACAGGTCTATTTTTGTTATACTAAGGCATATGGGAAGCAAATTTAGAAGGATTATGATGAAACACTTGTGCTAAAGTTTTTAAATTTTGCAGGGCATCCTGTAATCATGATGAAATTTTCATAAATTTGATTGCCTGTGGTTCCTTTCATGTTTTTTTTTTCGTTTTCATATTTGCTAATCGAATAAAAATGAAGAATAACGAGAATGACAGGAACTGCCCTTCTCACTTAGACTCTGAGAAAGATTTTTATGAAAGGCTTCTGTAAATCTCTCAAGTTTTTCTTCTTCCATGTCACTTCCCCATCGATGACAGCTAAGGCGTGTGAAAAAAAACCGTTTGTTCACTTTTTTTGTCAATAATGAGCTTAACTCCTACGCTATATTTTGTGAGAATTTTCTCAAGGAAAAAGAAAACAATTGTTTGACGTCTAGACAGTAATGTCATTCTCTGGAAACGCAAGTGACTTTTTTCTTGATGGAATAAAAGCTTTTGCCTTCATCAAACAAACATGACGGTAGTGTTATAGATATGTAGGTGAGTCAAAGCTTCTTATTTTCATCCTTTAAGGCTAGGAATAATCTCGATAATTTCGAGTTTTTAGAAATAGCCAAAGCTAAGCTATGTGGGAAGACATCCAGAATGCCCTTGTCCTTGAATGAGCCTCCGTATAATCTTCTTAATGCTTGATGATTCAGACCAAGCCCTAACTGAAGGCTATCACTCAAGATTTACTGCTTTGGGTTAACTTTGCCTCAAAAAGCCATGCATCACTATGCTTCCACGAAGCCTTTAGTTGCAGGAATCTCTCCAGCCAAAGCTGAAAACCTTGGGCATTCAACATCACACATCGACCTTCACTGTCTGTTTCTGTTTTTCCTTTTCTGTCAACATTTTCAAAGTATTGCTTCTGCAATCATCGTTTGCTGGCACATCTGAATCCTTTCCTAAATTATCGCAAGACTTGGGGCCGCATGCACTAACATCCCCGCGGGGAGGGGATCGCAGCTTAAAAGAAAGCTTTACATTTCGAAACTCCAGATACCTGGATTTCACTTTGTGTACCTATCCGTAAGTATTCCTACTACCCTTCACTATGAACATGTTGAACAGGAGCCAGAAGCTGTACGAATCGCATTTTCCAGCTTTTGTATGATCCCTGACGATCCCCGGCGCTTTTCTGTAAAGTCATTTTTCACTCTCCGAAGTTAACGAAAACCTTCCAAAGTTGTACTGAACATCTAACACAACTGTACTAAGCATGTTGCTGATGAGAACAAATGAGTTTTTGAAAAGTCGAATTTTTCGGTGAACCTCAAATCCACAGGTCGAAATTTGAGGTTCACCGAAAAATTCGACTTTTCAAAAACTCATTTGTTCTCATCAGCAACATGCTTAGTACAGTTAGTACAGTTGTGTTAGATGTTCAGTACAACTTTGGAAGGTTTTCGTTAACTTCGGAGAGTGAAAAATGACTTTACAGAAAAGCGCCGGGGATCGTCAGGGATCATACAAAAGCTGGAAAATGCGATTCGTACAGCTTCTGGCTCCTGTTCAACATGTTCATAGTGAAGGGTAGTAGGAATACTTACGGATAGGTACACAAAGTGAAATCCAGGTATCTGGAGTTTCGAAATGTAAAGCTTTCTTTTAAGCTGCGATCCCCTCCCCGCGGGGATGTTAGTGCATGCGGCCCTTGGAGAAGCTTGATTTGGTTCGGTCAAGATTTTCGCAGAAAACTGGGATAAGAACGGAAGTAGATGTGATTTATAAGCGATTCTACAGTAAGCATTATGTAAAGAAGGGTCGCTCTTCTTTTGAAGTGATTTGTAGTGTTGCGCAATTTTCTATCAGATTTTGGTGGCGACAATGTTTGGGATGGCTTTGGAATTTTGATAAGCGCACAATTAAAATCTTCAAAAAAAAGGACTTATCCTACATGACAAACTCAGTTCTTAAAAAATACTGATCATTTACATGTAAGTTCAAGTGACTTGCACAGTTTTAAAATCTTGTCGGTAACTTCAGAAAAATGTGCGACTCTCGGATAGAAGGGAGGGGGGGGGGGGAGCCACTTAACAGTCATTCTTTCTAGAGAGAAACTATCGCGAAAAAATTTTTACGAAGGTAACTTAAACGCCTCAATAGTCACAAAATTTACTCGATCTACAGGTCGAAAACCATTTGCACAATTTTATCATGTCGGCTTCTTTGAGTAAATTTTCTACCCGTTATTGAAGTTGCAGCGGGGGGGGGGGGGAGTAACGCCATCTATCCAGTTTTCTTACAAGGAAGTAAGAGTACAACATTTGCTTTGCATCTGCAGCGGGTAATGGGCTCTTGACATTCTAAGAATTTCAGTAGATTACAGTAGACTGATGAGAAAATACCAATTTCATATCCTTCTTCTTTTAAAGTTGTGAAGAACTTGTAAGATCTCTATCGGATTTTACAAGTTCAAATGCCAAAGATTGCAAGAACCATACGGCTTCCATAAGTACACTTTTTCCTGCTCTAGTGGTTTCAAAGCGGAAGCCATCATTCATAGCAGTTTTTTTTTCAAAGCTTCTGAGCACAATTTTCTTCTGGTTTCTTATGCATGCCAGCGTTTTCGTTGGTCTTTTTTTTTCATTTTAAGGTTTGTTTTGTGCCTAAGATTAGAAGATCAAAAGTTGGTATTGTTCTCTATAACTTTTTCTGCCTCAAATACAAAGAAAGTTTCGAAGTCCTTTGAACAGCTGAGTAACTAACTTCATCAGAAAAATATGAGTTGTCTTTTCGAAGTTATTTTTGATTTACTAGCTGACAAATTCAGCAAACATTGGTTTTCGCTTTATCTCTATGTATAATATGAAAACCTCTAAACCATATGAATGCCGTCAGTGGTGGACCATCTAGTAATAGAAAAACGCGTGAATTCGTTAATAAGCCCGAACAGTTCTGGCGTTTGGGTTCTTTAAAACTGATTGAAGGGCTTAACTGAGCCATCGTTCAAGTGACACCTCATATGATTTACTTATGACCGAGAAAATTGACTGTGAGCTCTTGCCTAGGTCATTCCTCTACTATACTGCAGCTGGTTAGTCGGCGCTTAACACTACCATTTTGGGGGCAACGATGGGAACTAAATTTCTCTGCCAACACAAATAAATGACCGAGATAAAGCCATCTCATCACTGTCTCAAAGGTTCCGACTACCGCGGTTTGTAGGCCCTAGAAGGGGCAATGCGTAAATGTACAAGATACGATTTTCTACCTTTTTAGGATACCCAACAAAAATATGTAGCCTTTGGAGCTTTTGCAGTACGGCAATGAACCTTCAGTAAGAGATTGCAATCACTGATGATTGACGCAGTAGTCGATAATTCTAAGTTTCTCCTACCCTTTATCTTTTATTTTAGGGCACAAAATTCTTATTATATATCGGATTTTATGTATAGACCCTTTATTTTCATTATCGACATAACAGATAGCAATTTTTGTTTGAATTTATTGCAGCGATAGTGCTATTCAAAACTATTATATTACAAAGTTCCTGTCAATATTGGTTCATCCCTGCAATTACTCATAATTTTCAATATGTGATTGGAAACTCTGTCCTTTAAACTGTCACAAACATAGATTTTCTTCGCCCGTCCCCTCCCCCTCCCCCTCCCCCTCCCTCGCCTTCGATTTTTTTACTCCCCTCTTTCAACTTGTATCATCTAGATCAGGTGAAAACAACTAAACTGTAGGTGGTATGTCTGTTGTACTCATGTGTGGGTGGTAGAGCAGCTCCTCCGATTTAGTTAACAAATGCAAAAGGCTTAAGCTGAACTCTCCTGGGGGGCAGTAGCTTTCACTAGCAGAATGGAAATGGGGGGAGGGGAGAAAGGGTTGAGGCTGAAAAGCCAGATATCCTTAGTGTACGTGTTTCTTTTGGGGGTGTACTTCTGGTCTCTAGCCTTTTGGCACTTTTTTGCGCCTATTTTGCGTCTATCCTTCTACCCCTCCTAAGCTTTGAGTTTTTTCCACAGAACGTTACTGTATGTACCGTATTCTACCGTACTCTCGCGCATATGTTTCTAATCTTCATTGCATTGTACATGATCTGCTATCCCAAACATTGAACCGGAATTTCCGCAGAACATTCAGGAAACAAACCTTCCGCAGGCCCCTTTTGAAAGTGTTGTGGAACTCCCCATTTTTATTTTGGTGTTTTTTTTGCGGAAGTTTACGTTCTTGACGCTTGTACTTCTGTGATTGTAAACAAAATTTTGCGGAACCGCTGCAAGTCTTTTTTTGTGCTGCGGAAGTTCCGTGAGTGGTCTGATTAGAATGATCCTCTTCAAGTATACATAAAACTTCCTGTTTTTTCCCCTCTGCATTTCCTCTTGTAATTCATTTTGTTCACTCTTGCAAACACATATTCTCACCATTGTTTTTCCCCGCAGCTAATTAGTCCCACTGTTTATGCTCTCATACTCTACTGATTCGTGAAATTCACAACTCCCTCAGGCACCAATTGCTTGTGCATTTATCGCGCTGAAAGCACTAGGGACATCGTGTCGTGTGTCTAGTCTCACACTGATGTTTTTGAAAGAAGTTTGCTGCTGAAAAACAGAATTGCATTATTCAGCCATCGTCTACGTTGTCGTCGAGTGCAAGCGATAGTCGTTTCGTGTATTCCTCGTCGTATAGCCTTATCTTTACACCTTTTCCTGAGTTCTTAAGGTTTTTCATTGCAGGATATGTCGTCGAATTGTACTCCTATCCAGGAGACGATGTTCGAAACAATAGATTTGACCTCAGTACGAGTCGTATTTGCTGTACTTTATAGTCTCGTATGGGTAGCGGCGATTGTGGGAAATACGCTAGTGCTTTACGTCGTCTCCTTCAATCAGGTAATCTTTAGTTTCAATAAGAGATTATAGGTTGTAGTTGTAAGCTCTATGCAAGGTGATTTTCTTCATTCTCTGATAAATTCCGCGAATCATCATTAAGTACCACAGCGTTGTTTTAATCGCACCAATCTCAAAATTTAAAAAAAATATCAGCTATGTTAGAATCTATCATAATTAGTCCCTACATGGCATGTCTTAAGAGAAAACATATGTTTGAGAACAATGCAAAAAAAAGTGCCCGACAAGGGATTCGAACCAGTGACCTTTGGCACTGAGACCAATGCAGTCACCACTAGACCAAGTTGTCAGATGCGTTTTAGTTATTGGGGAGGCTGGTTTTTGGGAAGCAAAACTTTTCTCAGACGAATGCCTTGCTAATAAGAAGGGTAGATTTGAAATCAGCATCTCAAGAGCTACATATCTGCGTACATCGCCTCTCATATGGCCTCTTGCTAAGTATCCTCCCCATGTAGACATCATCGCATGTCCTTGACATATTCATGAAACAGCTTGAATAGTTGGTTAAGGTCAGAGCGTGTCGCTTTCTGGATGTTAACGTGAATGTACCCCGGAAACCATGAATTGTTTGAAAGTTTATTTAAAAAGTGTTGGGTGCCCCTCACATTTTGAGCATTCTTTACTCTAAGTGGTTTGTTATATAGCAATCCGCACAAATCGTTTTTTTTTCTCAAAGTTGAATGCATAACAACAAGTCTTTGCACCTAGGGCGGAAACAATTATTGGAGAGTGACGTTTCAGAAAAACATGTTCGCTGAAATTCCGATACTCAAAAGTGGAGGAATATATTCGTAGAATGTTGTTTCAATTGCAGCTGCGATTACAGAATTTCAATGAATACTATATGTCACCAGAAGAAATGATTTTTTGATCTCGTGACTAATACAGAATTTCCATAAGCCCTTTTTTCGTTGCTGTTGTTTTCAAAAACGAAGAAACTGTTATCAGAAAGGATGTGACGTAACAGCAAAGCAGTTATTCTATTTATGAATTCTCAGCATGTATAGTGTTGATTCAGGCATGGTGAACTCAATTTAGTGTAGTAAATAACCTATAATGAAATCAGTGCCGCAAATTATAATGAAATAATGTCGCTTTAGAGATTGAAGTTTACGAAATGAATTTGTAAGATCTTTAAACAAGACGCAAACGAGAAATGTTCGAAAAAACAAATTTATAGCGCGTCGAAAACGCCAAAAAATTATTCGCAAAATTTTATTGTTTATATCTTCGGAGCTCGTTGCGTTGTTTAAACAAAGAGTTTTGATCTCTAATTCCCTTCTGGACTCTTCAGCAAGGAGAGGGAGCCTGAAATAGTTTAGAAAAATTTTTGTTCGAGATCGTAAATTTTTTTTCTAAAATTTCTCCAAGTTTTTCTGCTTTTTGGGACAAAGCTCCGTCATTTCTAAAATTCGAGAATGTGTTTTCATTCATAAAACCAAGCTTGCTCAAAACCCAACGATGAATCATCGGTGTTTTCTTGGCGGGAAATGGAAAAGTATGACTTCACAAAGAATCCTAATAACTCCTATGAATCCTTCAATCGAATAATGTGATGTTGATCATTCGTTTGCCTCATTTTCTTCCCGGTTAATTTCTCTCACGAAATGACGCATAAACAAAATGTTGTGCACATTTCAATTGTTTGAATAGTATTGAGATTGCACGCTATATAAACAGGTATTCACGTTTCTAGATCTTGTCAGAAAATAAACGTCTTTCTTGATCATCTGGAGAAAAACTGAAGGAAGTGAGATGAAATTTGATTTTTGAATTTTTGTTTTTGAAAAGCGAGGAGGAGGGAAGAGAAAAATATTGTGACTTTGATGCACTTGCAAACAACGTATCGCAATCATCATATGCTCAGATACAAACTAAATTGCAGGGTATGAAAGCGTGGGCATTGTTCTATGTAATTCAAAAAAATTGTGGAAAAAAACAAATGAAATCATGCGCTGTAGTGCTACACAATCGTAAACATTTGTTTTTTCTACTCTACGTAATCATTAGAATGTCTGTAAAATGATGGCTGTTTGTGTTGTTAAACCAACTTTGTCGCGAGAAACCACTGAATAAATAAATTAATATAAATAAATAAATGCTTCAGAAAATTTGCATTTACTAACTTCGTGAACTATGTAGTAACTTTCCAGAAGCATAAATAAAAATAAGGGAAATTCGTCCTAAGGTTTTTGCTGTCCCGACAGTTCCCTTATAGTATACCCCGACCCTATTTTCGACCTCCTGTTATGAACTGTAAGATAAACATTTTAGATGATCAGCTTAGACAACCTCCAGCCTCATGAATTTTTAGTGACTTTTTTAAAGTGACATCATAGTGAGCTTTCTTCTCTAATCGCCGCCCAATAAAAATACCTAGAAAGTCTCGAATATTCTGTAGGCTTCAAGTTTATTGTGACTTTTTTCCTTAATATTTGTTGTCATCCACACAAAGATTTTTTTTCGTTATATCGTAGTTGTGGAAACTATGTGTTAAAGATTTGAACCTTCGCCATGGCTAGAAGTTTTCTTAGGATAAAACTTCAAAGAGCGTGCATTTCTTTATTTGTGGAAAATAGCTTCCGTCCACTACTTTCTTGAAATCACTGAGGTTTGAAGCTTGAAAAGGAACTATAAGTTTCGTACCAAAAGTCTTATGACTTGGGAGTTCCACATTCAACAAGCTCGTTCATTTAAATTTCTCAAAATTAGTTGAAAATTTCAATTTGTATCGAACTATGGAACCTGAGTCAAAATACAGACTTTTGTTGTGACGAGAAGTTTTATCCTTTGTCAAAAATCCTCTGTAATTATAGAGCCTGAAGCATAGATCACAAGAACCACCTGAGACAAGATGCTTGCTCCCAGGTGATAATCAAGCTAATCTTACAATGGAAATGAAGGGAAGCTGAATGATGTGTGCATAAGTGACGGAAATATCACATTTGGTTTCTATTAGGTTGATGCATAATTCCTGCACCAAAATAGGTACAGACTGCAATAACTCGGAATAGTCCTATATCCCATGTAGGATTCGATATATCATTTGATAGCGCAAACCTAGCTCTACAAGATAGTGCTCAAATATCTACACCAGCTTTGATCCACTCGAAGTTTTGAGCCAAAAACTGAAAAAAACCATGCGTCCGAAAACCTTAAGACAGATCTTAAAAAAATTGTAACTTCGTTCAAAAAGCTCATACAAATTTTCTTTCTTACTCACGCGTAGACGTTCCACGTAAGACATTTATCTATGCGGTTGCTGTATTTTTTTCTCAATTAGGCGATGAAAAAACGAAGTTTTTTGAAGTTTTTCGTGTTTTTGCCAAATTAGCGCTGAGATGTTCTAGTATTAACAGTTGTATAGTACATGCCGTTAGCAGTGAAACTTTACATTTTCAGCCTTCTAGAACTGCTAGTTCGCGAGAAATAACGAATCTAGCTCTCCTCATCCAAATTTTTCTTGCCTGGTTGCTAAAAATTCGATATTTCTCGTAAACTAGCTGCTCTAAAGAGCTGAAAATTCACATTCACGCTTCTAAGGTCCTATAGTATACAACTGTCAGTGCTAGAACATCTCAGCATTGTTTTGGAAAAAAACACGAAAAACTTCGTTTTCTTATCGTCTAGTTGAGAAAAAAATACAGCAACCGCATAGATAAATGTCTTACGTGGAACGTCTACGCGTGAGCAAGAAAGAAAATTTGTATGAGTTTTTTGAACGAAGTTACAATTTTTTTAAGATCTGTCTTAAGGTTTTCGGACGCATGGTTTTTTTCTTTTGGCTCAAAACTTCGCGTGTATCAAAGCTGGTGTAGACATTTGAGCATTATCTTGTAGAGCTAGGTTTGCGCTATCAAACGATATATCGAATTCTACTTGGGATACAGGATTATTCCGAGTTATTGCGGTCTGTACCTATTTTGGTGCAGGAATTATGCATCAACCTAATATAATTCCATCTATACACCTAAATTTTCAAAAAATAAATTCTTTAAGGCTATGCCACCATTTATTCACCATAGAAAATTAGCTCAGTAAAATAAATCTTGACAATATCTCGTTATGTTAACATCAGCATGCTTCGGAAAACATCAGCATGCTTCGGAAATTTGTCGGAAATGAGGTGGAAGAAGAGTAGTGGGAAATGGCCCTCAAGGATCTTTTATGGTCTTTTTTATGTGAAATCAGGAGAAAGAGGAAGGGGAAAGGTCAAGTAGGGTGCTCTTGCAAGCACTATCTAATTTTGATTTTGAGTCTCGTTTTAATATTTTTTAATATTCTTCTGAAAAATATTATTATAGGTCTCATTATCCGTGCGAAGCGTTTTCATCGGTTGCTTAGCAGTTTCGGATCTGCTTATGTCATTGACATCCTTACCGTGGACTGCTGTGACAATATTCACCCGTGAATGGATATTTCCGAAGCCGATCTGCAAGCTGATAGGCGTATTCCAGGTAATAATTTGATTTCATCAATGCGCAAAGATCAGTACAAAGTATGAAGGCTATGCGGCTGGCTAAGAATTAATTCTGTCTGTAATACATTCGAGCAATTATATTTAGTCTACAAATCACATGCACCCCTTCTAGAATTCCAAGAAAATTGGACAAGAAGCAGTGTGTATCAAATGCACTCAAAACCATTAATAAAACAGGACAGTAACAGATAATCAAACTACATTAAGTAAACGTTTGGTCCCAAGAAAGACCAGATAGCGATTGATGAAATATTTCAGTAGTTGCCGAAAGATCTCAAATATTGAGTTCAAGATAACGAGCTAACTTTTTTTGTAATACTTTACTTACTATACATACACATGCCTGTCTGCTATTTGGTGATTATAACATGAACATGAGGGCATCAGCAAATTTGAAATATTGCAAAACTCTTAGAGAAAGATTTGATTTTTTTTGGTTTTGATTTTTAGTACTCAATAAGATCACCTGTATCCCCGTTGATCATCGTGTTGCACGAGCGGGTACCAGTGATGCCTAAATTCGTCCCTGTCTCGGGCGATTGTTGACCAATGTTTACGTATCGCACCAGGAACACGTGGAACGCTCTGAAGGACTTCATTAGAGAACTTCGTGAACATATCTGACCATCGCGTCGGCGGTCTTCCTCGTTCGCGTTTGACGTCCAGTGGTATCCAATCTGTTACAGCTCTCGTCCACCGGTTGTCGTCGAAACGCATTACGTGCCCGGCCCATCTTATCTTGTTCTGCTTAGCGTACGCGGCAGCGTCCCTGATCTTCTATCGTTGACGTAGGGTAGAACTTCGTAATCCTTGCCTCACTTGCGTGAGTCGATTCACTCCTAGCATCACTCTCTCAACAGCTCGTTCGATGACGCTAACCGCGTGTTCATCCTGCTTTCTCATTGTCCATGTTTCTGAAGCGTACGTCAAAGCAGGAAGAACCGTCGAGTTGAAAAGGTGGGCGCGGAGCCGGATGTTCTTGGCCTTTTTCACCAAGTCCTCAATTGTCTTATATGCTCCCCATGCTGCACGTTTCCTCCTGCTCAGTTCCGGAGCTAGATCGTTCATCATATTGAGTTCACGACCTAGGTAGGTGTAGCTTGAGCATTCGGTGACGTTCGTCCCGTTGAGCATGAAAGGAGCATCAGGCACTCTTCCGTTCCTCATGAACATCGTCTTCGTTAGATTCAGCCGTAGACCGATCTTTCCACACACTTCGTCAAACTGGGCCAGCATTTGTTCCGCCTGCGTGATGCTTGGTGTTATCAATACGATGTCATCAGCAAAGCGAAGGTGGTGTAGCTGCCGGCCGTCGACTTTCACTCCCATGTTGTCCCATTCCAACTTACGCATGACGTTCTCCAGAGCGGCACTGAATAGTTTCGGCGATATAGTATCGCCTTGTCGCACGCCTCTCTTCACGTCAATGATGATGTCCTCGTAGAATGGTGTTATGGTGGTTGTGATGTCGTTATACAGCTCACGAATTATCTTGATGTAATGAGTCGGAATACCTTGATTGCTCAAGGCATCGATGACAGCTTCAGTCTCAACCGAGTCAAAGGCCTTCTTCAAGTCGATGAAGGTGAGACAGAGCGGCATCTTATACTCTCGTGACACTTCAATGAGCCTTGACACCGTGTGTATGTGGTCGATCGTGCTGAATCCTCTTCGAAACCCAGCTTGCTCGCATGGTTGTCCCTCGTCCAACTCTCTTCCGATCCTGTTGAGAATGACTCGCGTAAAGAGTTTGTAGACTACAGACAACAAGCAGATAGGGCGATAATTGCCGATGTCGCAGGGATCTCCCTTCTTGTACAGCAACACGGTTTTGCTGGTCTTCCATTGCCTTGGAACCTTGCCTTCCGTCAGGTACCGCGTGAAGAGTCTTGATGAGAACTGGCGAAAGATTCTTCAGATGTTCTGGCTTAATCCTGTCGGGACCGGGTGCTGTACGGTTTTTCATCGACATGATAGCATGACGAATCTCGGAAGGAAGAACAGACGGTGCGACATATTCGTCCTCCTTGAGATGGCATGGTGGAAGGTAGACGTGGCTCGCAAAAAGATCCGAGTAGAAGTCGTGGATGACCTTCTCCATTGATCTTCGGGAAGCAGTTATGGTTCCGTCAGGACGACGAAGTGCGGTCATCTTTGTCTTGAAGTTGACGAAGCTTCGGCGGGCGTTGCGTATACTTCTTCCAGCCTCCGCGGCATCAACCATCACTGCTACTCTTCTCTCCTTAAGGTCTTCTTTTATCGCTTCTCTGCATCGCTTCGCAAGCTCGGACGTCAGTCGGTAGTTGCCTGTGACTCGTGCGCGTCCACGTTGGCGTATCAGCTCAATAAGATACCGCTTTTAATTCGAGCATGACACAAGTGTGATTTATTATGACAGGACACATGTGTGATAAATGATATAAAACTTTTGAAAATTGTAGATCACTTCAAGTTTTCCTAGATTGCAAAACAGTCCTTTCTCCCACAAGCCCATCAAAACAACATCCATCAAATTCTAGAGGACTTTAGATGGAAGATGTTTTCATGCATGCACTAGACTATATAGCTCATATATCGCTTGCAATGCTTGGGTACTCTTGACCAAGAGGAAAATACTCTTTGTTTACACTTAGCTAAAATCGCTCCTAATTCAGTTTCCTTTCGAGAAAGGACACATTTTCAAAAAAATTCAAAGCTTTTTCATGTGCTCCGTGATTTTCTTCAAAAATGATCTCGTAACTCTGAAATGTAGATAATTTAGCTTTTTTAAGGGTGGCAGCATCTTTGTGTCCAGCTTTACACTTACCATAATCGCTTTGGATCGTTGCCTACTTATCATAAGACCAAATAAAGAGGTAATTCAAACGGTTTATTGATTTGTAATCCAATGTACAAGTACAATATAATTTCAGTTCATCGGATATAATCGAGCTATCACTATAGTGGTAGGGATCTGGGTGTTGGGTTACTCATTAGCTCTTCCTTTGGGCATTTTTTCGAAAGCTGTCAGTTTCGATAAAATTTGCGGCGTTTTTTGTGAGGAGATTTGGTGAGTTTATGAAACTTCATCTCTTCAAAAAATTTACATTTTGTAAAGCTTCGGTTTCAGTTAACAATATGAGAAGCAGAAACATGTGGAATAAAAAAAAATATAGCGCTTACGTGTTAATTATAATTGTTGTTAAATAATAATGATAATAGTAGGAATATCTTGAGCGTAGTCAACGTCGCTATAAGTCAAGGCAGAAATTAAAACTTCTAAAGAATTCTAGATTTTTTATAAGGATAAATTCTGAAGAGCTAATGATTTCCAATTGTTGATGTTTGAAATTTTTCAGGCCAGACACTGACAATGATTCGGGTCTTATCTCGCCTAGTCGACGTCTTTACGGTCTATCGGTTTTGTTATCCCAATTTGGCATTCCGGCTCTGATTTCCTCAGTCTGCTACTATTTGATCAGCCGAGTGATGTCATCTCAACTGGAACGAAGAAGAGGACATACTCTTTTGAAAGAATCAGAAGAGAAACTTGTTAGTCGCAAAACACGCGCAAATAGGTAGGAGCGGGGAATTTTTTGAGATTTTTGAATTTTTCAAAACAAATGGTCGCAATTTTGCAGAATGATGATTGCCATGGTTCTTGGTTTCATATTCGCTTGGATGCCTCTAAATGCAATCAATCTTTATCGAGATTTAGGCTCTGTACAGAACAACACTTGGTTTTCAACGGTCAGTCATTTTATCCGGAATTAACTTAAAATTGAGAATATTTTTCAAGCGCAAAATTTCCTTCAAAATTTAGCTGTCAGTTTCAGGTGTTTGCTCTATGTCATGTGTTGGCCATGACATCTGCAGCTTTGAATCCAGTCATCTATTCATGGTTCAATCCACAGTTTCGATCTGCTGTTCAGTACCTGTGCAATGGACAACGAAAAGGTGTAAAAAGCAAACTACTCAACGAAGTTCATACAAGACTCACCGAGGTGAGTTACATTGAAATAAAATCCTAAAAAATCTATTGCTGACAATTTAGACCGTCACGGATGCCAAAGTCAAACCGGATTACACATCCAGCGATTGTCATCAACCGGGTGATCAGATTCTTTAAAATGACGAGTTTGCTTCTTAAAATACTACTTATGCATATGTGTATCGCCATAAGGCGTGTCTCAATTACGGGTACGGTCGGAACGTCCGTTATCGCCTTTGCATTCTGGATACGTATCGAAAAAATGTCCTACATAAGTTATTACCATGCGCTTGTTGTTGCTATGCAATAAAGCTTTATATACTACTTGGATATTCGCAGCGAAATGGAGACGAGGCAACCTGTAAAAATTGACGCCTTGTCAGAACTGCCATCTTAACACGTTGACGACGAGCCATTTTTTTTTGAGGTCTGTCCCTTTGGACGAGACGTTTCCGTGCATCCCTACGCCTGGCCGCATGTATGCATCCATGCAAGAGACATGAAATGTGCAAGCCCCGCCCCCATGTGGCAAGCTCCTCCCCCTCGGCCAAAAATCAGAAATTGCTTAAATTTTCAGAATTCACGCAAATTCCGCCGCTTCTGAAAAATGGGCGGACTTGCCTGACGGTGGGCGGGACCTGGATATAAGTTGCTTGAGGTCTTTGCATTCATCTACGGCCCCATCCATACTTTTTTTGAACAAAAAGGGTCCTTGTGAGAGGCATAGGAGCGGGCGGAGTTCGCCAAAAGGGGCGGGATTAATGCATGAAGTACATCTGAGCCTAAGTTTATTTAATGAACAAAAACTGAGAGGATTGAACAGATAGTATTGAAATTGAGCCGCCGCGCACCATTGCGCGGCACTGTCTCCCAGTTAACTTTTTTAGGCGGGTCTTGACCTAATTGTAAAGACCGCAATGGTTTGTTTTCGCATTACAGAATAACGCTTACAAGGAGAATCGGAACTCGAATCCAAACAAGCTGCTACTACTGGATGCAGCATGGAACGCTGACTCCAAACCTGTCTTCAGTATTTGCTGAATGCCTTTGTAGACGAAGTTATGAGCGGTTAGAAGACATTAAGTCACCGAAAAAGGGGGTCCCATACGGGCATGTGCAACATACCTTGCGCCTTCACCGTCATTGCCTCGTGTCATCCGTCCGTGTGGGTGGAGCCTATCAGTGACCTAATGTCCTCTACCCGTTTTGAAGCGAGAAAATCGTATATAAACTGCGGAATTGAGCACATTTCGCCCTTTTAGTCACCTTTAGGTATGTATTGTACAAAGTAGCCTAGTTCCACGTTTTGGTTCAGCATTAAGCCAAACACGGCCGCGTAGACGAATGCACTTTGCACGCACGATTTCTGGAAATTTAATGGCTTATAATGGTATTGCTTGAGGTATTACGACCTTTGACATAATATCTACATATGTATCACTCCTTCTGCCATAGACAAGTTGCAGATTGTCCATGCGATTGTTTAGCCGCCTGGTCCCTTCATACTTGATATTGCACTCCGGGGATTTTACTTTCATGTAGGCGATCTTCACGTTGCAACGATAACAGTGTTAGGCAGAAGTTGGTATCCATGCTACACACGCTCTATTTTATTGTATAAGAGCCTGGACAAGTTCTAAAGTCGTCACTATGGTCGTGTTCCTGTCCGTCACTATTCCCTGCGGATAAATCGTTGTTGCCACCAGTTTGGTCTCACCAAAGGCTTATAGCTGCGTTTACAAAGGCTCTCAGCACATGAAGAAGACGTATTTAAAGTCACCGTCTAGGCTGCATCTAATGATATGCAACTTGTTTGGACTGGCCGCTTCTAGTTTTGACCATTCCCTTTTTAGATGAAAGTCTAATTGGGAGTGAAAATTGGGCGTCCTGGCGCGAGAACTGTCAAGTGCAAATATCACTATGCAGCGTGAATACGCAGGTGTGTTAGTGGTCCCGTGCGGATAATGACTCGCTCAGCGTGCCAAACCCCGGATCGCGCGTCGACGCAGGTGCAGTTTTCATCGTGCGGACGGCACAGTACACCTTCGGTAGTCTAGAGATAGGGCTTCAAAAGTGAAAATTGTTTGAAAGTCTGTCCTTATAAAAAATAAGATCATTTAATATTATTGGAGAAGAGAGGTTAACTAAATAGCAAAGTAATAGCAAAGTGCTGAAAACAGCGTAGGAGCGCTACAACAACATTGAAGTCTCTTTGACGGTATTTAAATTGTTGGTTTTCGCTTCAGGATTCGACTGTTAAATGGGGTAAACGAGGGAAGCTGAATTCTTTTTTGCAGTTGTCCCAAGCACAATTACGTTTCGGTAGTGATGGTTTTGAGAAAAAGATAAACAAGAAGAGTTCAGTTATGAAAACGAGAAGTTTTGTTTGCCTGAAATAAAATATCACGCCAAAGCCAATCTGTTTTTTGACACGCTATAAATTTTTACCCTTTTGCTGTTTCTACAGGGTGTCCGTAAAGTATGTATACACTGTTTGATCGCTAATATCTTTTTTCCCAAGAAGTCTTTTGCCTTGCTTCAGGTACCATTTTGTAGAGCTGGCCTCAACTTAGATTTCCAGTATGGAGCGAATCACCCATCTCTCCATTACTGTAGGATTACGGTGGAAACTTCAAAGAGGGTTTTGAGCCGTGAAAGGCCATATAATGCCTCAGAAAAGAAACAAAACAGCCTAAAAACTTTTACACTAGGCTAATTTGAGTTGCTGATTCTAATTGTAAAGTTCCTTACTGATTATGATGCTTCACTGAAGAGTTATGCCAGGTAAGGGCCATTTTTGTAATGTTTCTAAAAAGTGCGGTTACACCGTTTAGAAAGCTTCGCACTCTTGTGAATAGTTGAGTATTGAACTCAGCGTTCATAAAAACCCTATCATACAAGCACATTTTTTGAAAAATTTTGAGACGGCAGCTTTTTCCACATTGACACCATATGTTTCAAGTTTTTACCGTAATCCTACAGTAATGAAGAGAGATGGATGATCGTTTTATACTGCAAATCTAAGTTGAAGCCAGCTCTACAAAATGGTACCTAAAGCAAGGCAAAAGACTTTTTGGAAAAAGAGATATCAACGATCAAACAGTGTATACATACTTTACGGACACTCTGTATATTCGGCGACGTTCGCAGCGTTTCGCAGTTCAAATCTAGTAATGTAACATAGCAAATGTGAAAACTGGGCGACTAATCTTGTATGTTCGCAAGTACGTATAATACAACAAAATTAAAGAAATTACATTTTAGCGCGAGATATGGACTTGATAAATCAGAGTCACTTGCAGTCTCAACGCCTATTCTACCAACTTTTCCCGGACGACAAGGGGATTATATCAATATGTTAAACTCTACACTGTTTTGCTGGAGTTACAATAAATAGAGTCGAATACCATGAGAAATAAAAAGTCAGAATATAGCAATTTCCGTTTCGTTCCTGACATTGTACGAAATATTACGTAGGTATGCGATTTTCCCAGAACTCATCAGTAATGTAGGAAGACCGTATAGCATATACGAAAATTCGAAAAATAAAACAATATAAGTGAAGATTCTTTGAGGAGTGGGCGCAAGAAACCAATACAGTAATTATGTTATTTAAACTATAATAAAAGGAAAAAGGAGTTGAGAATCTAAAGAATTTAGAATTGGAAGAAATAAGAGAGGTTTATCCCGAAACTCTTCCAAAACAGAAACTGTTAGAACCATCTAACTTCTGAAAAGTGATTGGGATGGTACAGTATTTTGAAGGCCCTGCATCATTCTCTTTGAGACAGAGCTTTCATTTGGCTAGATATATGTTTGGTACTGATGTGTTTATTTCCCTTATAGATGAGGTGCGGATTATCTGGAGTTCATTACCGGCTCATATCCATAAAGGTTGGAAAAGGTTATTCGAACGTTGTATCAGTGCATCATAATGTTACTTACCACACATCTTCTTGTATTTCGTATTTAGAGCTTCCGAGCAACTGTGTTGATCCTTCTAACAATGCGTAATGTTCACCTGTTTTTCTAGATCAGAGTGCTTGTTCACTACACAAGAAGTCCTCATATACAGCACAGCCATTTTTATCAAGCGACAAGATCGAAGATTATTACATAGTTTAGATGCGCATTTTGCTTGATGAAATCGATTAAGATCAGATTATGAAGGATAAGATCGTAAGCTTGGTGTTTTTTCGGCCAAAAATTGTATGTTGATGCTACATACTTGTCTCGATAGTGTTTCAGCACAGTTTTTTATGTTATTTATGTGACCTACACAGAATGGCAGTCACTCATCGCCTTTCGCATTGAATTTTTCTCGCCTACAAACGTTGTTCAGTAACTCACATTGTACTGGTAAATAGCATTGTTAAAAAGCTTATTTTCGGTAAATTCTTGAAACTAAATCTTCACTGTCCGCATGATATGACAGACAATGTGGCTCGACCTTGTTTTTTTTCAAATCGCGTGTTTAGAGATCTTCAAATGAAGCCGCGCAGGAGTGGTGCTGTGTTTGCCGGAATTATTCTTGCGTCTATAATATTCGTGTATCTCAAACTTCATCAACACGAATGGATGCGCTCATCATCCCTCACTTTCTCGCAGATATTTTCAACACCTCTCGATTTGCGACAAGAAAAGGTACATTCCCGAAAAATTTGCTCCAAAAATATGACTTTGCTTGTAGATCAGCGTTTTGACTTTGCTTGACAGCATCATCCCGTCATTCCCTGCGATACTGATCGACACTCGCTTACTCATTGCTTTATACAAAGGGTATAGCACATCGAAGCGGAAAATCAAGCTTGCAGTAGACATCAAGTACATAAACCATATTGATGGATCGGAACTTCAAACATACGACATCTTCTATTACGACAATCAAACCAATAACAACTACATACTAATTTACGACAATCATGCAAGGATTATACCAAGGTAAGCTTCCCGTTACAACGACTAAGCAAAAATTTACCACACTTATGTCTATAAGATTGTGCAGAATGTCCCCAGGGTTGCAGGAGGTCAAATCGTAGCACACGTAAAGCAATCCTTTATGAGAGGAGCAAGTTTGTTGCCAAGAAAATGGTGCCATGTTGTTGGCTTTTCAGCAGATATTTTTCGAAAACATGTTCAGAGGGAAAAGAGGTGTATCTCAAAAATTGGACTGCTTGCGCAAGACTATCTCAAGTAAAATAAGCGCTAGACATCCCAAATGCTGTAATCATCTATGGTCCTTACGAGTGCATTCTATGTCTGGGGGCGCTACATGCAGAACTTCTTCCAAAAAATGTGATATCTACATTATCTGCACTCTAAAATCCACTTTTTCAAAAAACCAATCCTTTCAAATCCTTTTCTTTTACAGGGGGTAAGCCAAATTTTGATCATTGCAGTTATGCTTAGAACATCTGCAATATTTGGAGTCATCATCAAGGCATCGCGATTCTCACCGAATAGAATCGACGCTTGCTGCAAAAAGAGTTACAGTCAGGAGAAAGTTTGACAGCTTCCAAAGTATGTGCTCGAATCTTTGATTGAGCACAGCTGCGAGTTTCAAAGACAACCTTTTCTTTCAAATAATCAAAACTGGTTCCATGTTTAGTGCAGAAAATTAACAGCAAAATTTTTTTTGAGAATTTTGAGGTTGGAAAGATTTTTTGTTGCAGTGCATAAATTGAGCTCTGACATAGATAAAAATCAGATGTATTATAAGTAAGCCTTTTCATCCTATAAAGCACAAAGAATGTTAATTATGGACGAGTAAGAAATAGAGAACAGGTATTGATTATTTTGTAACCTGGACTGAAGGTGGTGTTAACCTTTATTGAGCCGAGGCTTCGGCGTCCATGCCGAGTCAGAGCCTGGAAAACTTATACAATTTAGAGGATATTTCACGATCACTAGGGGCTTTCTTTAAAACCTATCAATTTTGAACATCCAGATGATTGCAGATTACCTTTCGAGAATCGTGGAAATATTTTGATACCCGTCAACATCATACGCTTTCTGCAGTATTGGAAGAGGTCGATATTTATCAATTGTCTGAATGTGGATATGTCCCGAAATGGAACGGAGCTTCCGATCCTTCCGAAAGATGAAACAGTGCAAGCGATGTCATCACTCATGCTTCTTTTGTGTCCTTCAACGTTTTCCCATTTCTCGCCGGTGGCTCATTGTTAGGTAAGGTGTTTGAATTGAATTTTGCATAAAAATGTTCCAAACGAAAGCGGATGCTTTAATGAGGAAAGCAGCAAGCGCTTCGCGCGGAAGATTATGAACATCTATGTTCAAAGCACACTCTCTAACAATGAATGATAAATACTTGACCCTCGGGTTTGCGCAGAAAAATGACACTTCGCAATAACATCAATTAATCAATAAGTAATTGAATAGAAATCTCATAATCCTTTGATTTCTAGGCTGGTACCGCGAATGCAATATTATTCCACACACAATGGATGTTGATTTCGCAGCACCTATCAACGAGTATAGACCTGCGCTGCTTGAACACTTGCAAAGCAACCAGTCAGAGCTTTTTCTCAAAAGAAAACTTGGAACGGTAGGTAAGTATAATGAGAAGTTATTGGGAAGACACCTGTACTCCGAATCAATCACATGCAGTTAAATAATTCACTGGAGTTCACATTACTACCGGCTGGTAGAAACGCACCTTTGATGGATGTATTCTGGCTCTACACTATAGCTAACGAATCCTGGGTAGCTGGATTGGCATCAGATGCTAAAAAATATAAATACTCCTATCCTAGGTGTGTCTTTGTATCATAAAAATTTATTCGCGTATCCGATGTACCATTTTTTACAACTGAAACCTTGGCATTCTCAGGATTTCTAAAATATGCGCGGGAGATCTACTCGGCCATATTTTTTGGGTTCCTTGTAATACTCAAACTGTGATTGAGGTATGTCTAAGATTGTTAATTTAGACCAGAACCAAAAAATGAGCGAATGGAACGTCAAAATCTGCAAAGCGTCATTTGGCTAATGGATACATTTTTGTAGAAGGAATACGGACCTGAGTGGAAACGCGATCATTCTACAAATAACTTTTCATGGTATTCTTCACATTTCAATGTTGTGGAAAACGGTCGATGGACAATGGACGAGATGGAAGAAGTTTACCACAGTTATTGATGATAAAGGATAATAAAGGATAAAAAAAATCGACGTCTTCAATACTGTCTGCCGGCTTACCCTATAAGTTTTACTCAATAGTCGAAGAGGCTGTAAGCATACCAACCTTTACAATGAATTGCAGTGGTAAGCCGATTATGAAACCACTGCTTTGTTTCTTCCAGACTGCGATGCCAACTTACCGGAGGGCAGAGGGCATTGACTGAGGAAAGAGACATCGGTCCGGTGGTCATAGCAGTGCGTCATGCTACTAATCATACTCGTCCTCCAAACTTTTGACAACATAATACTAGGCTGTTGCATAAGTTCTGTCCGATTTTTTTGCCTCATGTTTGAAGCAGCTGTTCTAAGAGAATTTCATCTCTAATTCGATACGGTTGGTATCATTGAAAAGTGCTTTCCTTGCGCTTTCTAAAGCATACCAGAATTCAATAAAATTCTTAGTGTACGGAGATCACAGGCCTGAAATCTCTAAGGGCCGCATGCACTAACCTCCCCGCGGGGAGGGGATCGCAGCTTAAAAGAAAGCTTTATATTTCGAAACTCCAGATACCTGGATCTCACGTTGTGTACCTATTCGTAACTATTCCTACTACCCTTCACTATGAACATGTTGAACAGGAGCGAGAAGCTGTACGAACCGCATTTTCCAGCTTTTGTATGATCCCTGATGATCCCCGGCGCTCTTCTTTAAAGTCATTTTTCTTTCTCCGAAGTTAACAAAACCTTCCAAAGTTGTACTGAACATCTAACACAACAGTGCTAAGCATGCTGCTGATGAGAACAAATGAGTTTTTGAAAAGTCGAATTTTTCGGTAAACCTCAAATTTCGACCTGTGGATCATCGAAAATTTCATGATTCAAAACATCATTTGTTCTTATCAGCAACATGCTTAGCACAGTCGGGTTAGATAATCTGCACAACTTTGGAAGGTTTTCGTTAACTTCGGAGAAAGAAAAATGACTTCAAAGAAAAGCGCCGGGGATCATCAGGGATCATACAAAAGCTGAAAAATGCGGTTTGTACAGCTTCTCGCTCCTGTTCAACATGTTCATAGTGAAGGGTAGTAGGAATACTTACGGATAGGTACACAACGTAAAATCCAGGTATCTGGAGTTTCGAAATATAAAGCTCTCTTTTAAGCTGCGATCCCCTCCCCGCGGGGAGGTTAGTGCATGCGGCCCTAAGTGGCCGAGGTACGTTCTATCCCTAGAAATATGTCCTTGCGAGGATATCTCCACAATGCGCCCTTCAAGTCAGGTTCTTTCATTGGCTTCGGAATAAGGGTATGGAATGCTAGTATATGCAGAAGTTCGGTCCCATGAAGAATACCTCTTGCTAGTGAAATTTATCCTCGAACATAAATCTTTGGTATAGATGTTTTACAAGCAATAACTTTCTGCGAATAGAAGTAATCGACAAGCTCAAAGTTGGAGGTGCTAGGGCAAAGCAAGAGCTAACAGGGCCCATCCACCAATTCCTTTTCGGCGCTCACGTCAGTTGTAAAACGTTCGTAGTTCATAAATAGGCATGCACACATGTGCTGAAGCGAGGTCAAAAAGTGGCTAATTTTTTGTTCGGTCAAGAAAATCTCTCGGCAGCGCAAACCCTATGGGCTCTTTTATGTTGCATAATAATCTACGAAAATTTCTCTATCCATCCATTATTAGAAAAGATGCCTATCAATTTTCATAAGGGAGCGTTACCATGTCAAAAAAGACAGATTCGAAGAAGAACGCTGCGAAGTTTTTGCATTCTTGGTTCTTCCTTAACAAAGATTTGCGCAGATCTCAATATGCATTTTTTAGCCAAGGGACTGCTCAACACATAGAAACTAAGACCTTGGAAAAAAGTTGACTCTGAAAGAAGTTATGACATTTTAAACTCAAAAATTCAAATCGGACAGAACTTATGCAACAGCCTAGTATTTGCAATATATGCTATAATTGAAGATTTAAAAAGAAAACACTGACAGTGCAGTTAAATCTATATAATTGTTACCTATCAAAACTTGGAAGCTTTTGTAAATCAAGCACTCTTAGAGCCTTTCCTAATGCTTAAGTCACGACCATAACCATTCAACAACAGATAGCCTTGATTACGTATGCTTTGTGCAGCCTGCTCAATTAACTTTCTTCCTTTATTGCCATTGAAGTTAGGCAAAACTTTGATCTCAGAAGTTTCATTAGAATGAAAAAAAATGAGACCAGTTTTCGCTGAGTATAAAAAAATTGACATGCTCAATCTTCAAAGACATAATTTTTTTATCCTCGCATGTGTCTTGCTTATACAGGATTCGCCCCACATAGAACGACATGTCTCCATGTAGTTAGTTCTATGTGAGGCAAGGTTCTCGTCTACCCAAGTTCTCGCAGGTCGGCCTTGATTCTGTCCATTCACCCATCTGGGTCTACCTCTGTGTCTTTTGCCTGGTGCCTCCAAAGCCAGGAAACTTCGTGATGTGACTCATCTCTTCTGCGCACATGCCCATACCATCGTAACCTCCTTCCCTGCATTTTCTGGGCAATTGGAGCTACTTTCATTTGCGTTCGTATAGTGTCACAGCAGATATGATTCTTTAGTGTGACTCCTAAGGTCATCGTAGCATCCATGTTTCCATGACACTAAACTTGCGCTCCTCGTTCTGCGTACACGGCAGCATTCACTGCCATACAGCGCTGCTGGGCGGATAACGGTCCGGTACAGTTGGGAAGTAAGTTACACTGGCATTCTTCTATCGCACAAAACTCCTGTTAGGGTCCCCATTTCATCCATGCTGTGTTCATCCTGCTTGCGACCTCCCCTTGTAAGCCTCCCTCCGTCAAGATGTGACTGCCTAGGTACTTGTATGACGTTGTTTTCTTCAGCTCATCACAAGGCTTATGGTACTACCAGCAGTTTGTTTCCCCACTTCCACATATTAGGTTGTCCCGAAAGTTTTGTCTGTTTTTTCAAACCACTATAAAACCATATACAATAAGCAACTGAATGTGTTTCAACATGCATTTGATGCAGCTTTTCCTTCTCTTTCTTATGGATACGTATTCGATCCACAGTCTTGCATGCTTTTTTGCTAATTGCCAAAATTCTCCACCCGTCAATTTTGTCTGCTCAAAGTTGGGCTAATTGTTGAAAATTTCATTTCAGAGCTTCGGAAAGGGATAAGGCAATTCTCGGGCAACAAGTTGGTGCTTTTCGATTCTCCTAATCTGCTGTTTTTAGCTTCAAAAAATTATTTCTTTCGAGGTCTCTATTTTTGGCAAAATCATGAAACACGCAACTGCAGCAAATACATGAAAGCTTCTGAACTTTCTGTGAATTGAAAAAGATTCTCATCAAACATTGATTATGCAACATAACCAAGTTTGATTTGCTTTGAAAAAGCAGCTTCTTGAAATTTTCGGTACTTTTACGTTGTAAGCGTAATTAAAAAGCCGCAATTTTATCAGACAAATAATTATGACGGACTTGGTAAACATGGCTCATGTGATTCAAAGTGAATGCAATGTAGTCAAAGGTTTGCTCTACATAAGCGTTATCAGTACTCTCTGAAAACATCAGAATGAAAATTTTTAAAATTCAGGAAAAATTTGGCGTTACTGCTAAACTGCTCAAAACATGGCGATAACATTGCAAAGACAAGGTAGATCAGTAAGCAAAAATGGCTGTAAGAAAGAGGATAAAAATTTGAATCAAGGGGTACCTAGGTCGTCTATGGAAAGGTGTTCTTTGAGTTTTGGTGAGCGATGAAAGAAACGGACAAAAGTTTCGGGACAACCTAATATTTTGTCTTCCTGGTGGTGAGCTTCAGGCCATATAACTCTAACCTGTTTTTCCAGTTTTGTACCTCGTCTTGTAGCTGCTTTCTGGTACTTGCTACCAAGACCACATCATCTGCGTAAAGAAGTGTCCAAGGAGGTTTACGTCTGAGCGTTCCATCACGACGTTCATCATAATGATGTGATGTACTCCAACCTTGATTTGGAATTCTTTCAACTGCCCTGCGGCTGTTTGCACGTGGCTTGAAACGCCGCAGTAGATCATCTTTATCCACTGAACGTACTCCTTTGGCACCAGGTGTTTCTGTAAGGTCCACCATATGACTTCGTGGGGCACCTTATCGAACGCTTTCTCTAGATCCAGGAAGGCTGAATGCAATTCCTTCTGCTTCTCTTTGTATTTCTTTATCACTATCCGTGCGGAGTGGATTGCGTCAGTTGTATAATACCTACTTTCTTCACGAATCCGCACTGATTCGGTGACAACTTTACGATATCACAAAGGCGCATTTCGATCAATCTCTCAGATTTTTGGAGTGTGGCTCATCAGTCGGATTGGCCGGTAGGATGCGCAGTCTGCTATGTCTCCTTTGTTAGTCCATATCGAAATTGTCGTGCTGGTGTATCAGTCGCGAGGTATACTCTTGCGCTATACTCTTACTCTCCTTATGATTTGATTGAGGGACTCTTTAGCCGTGTGGCTCTGGAATGTCCACATATTTTCCAGAAGTCGCTTGGTATGTCGTCTGGACCAGTCGCTTTGCCACTTTTTGTTCTTCTTATCTCTAGCCATACTTACTCTTACGTAACTGCTGGCACTGGTCTTTCATGGGACTGGCTTCTGCGGTGAAGTTCATGGTGTGGCCTGTGGTAGCCATTTCCTCGAAGTAGGTTCTCCATCTCTCGGTGATGTCCTCTGGTTTTCTTAGCGTCCTACCAAGTTTGTCTTTGACATGAAGGAAGACTTTCATATCTTTTGTACTATTCGCTCTTCTTCTCGCTATCCGGTATATCTCACGTTCTCCCTCGCGAGACTAATGGTGATGGTATACGAAATTTGCAATTTGTATTATTCTTCTCTATTCCAAAATGCGAGGATTATTTGCATTTGTGTGTGGTTGAGTAATTCTTTTCCTTGTACAGCAAAGATGAATTTGGTAGCTCGCACTGTTTTGCTATTGTGGGACGCGTATCTGTGTAATTCATGCACAGCTGTGCCT